ATAATTTCCTATGGAAGAGTCTCTCTTTCGTTGCAAGACCATTCCTAGAGCATCTCGAGACGAAGAATTTGAGTTTTGGAGGGATATCCAGACGCCACATCCATTTTCATTTCTCCATGCTGCCCATCGTTTGAGGCTCAGTTGAGGATAAGTGAACTGCATGGTAAGCCGACTTAACAGAGAAATTGTCTTTTCATTTAATCTCCACGCCCGGAAGTCATTGGAATCCAAATCCCCAATATGAATTCTCAAGATAGCCTCCATCTTAGAACCAGAGACATGCCCCTGGATTAAGTCATAATTCCACTTCTTTCCCTCCGTATCAATCCAAGTATTGACTCTCATGTGATTCTGTGGTCCACTTTGAATGCTTGCTTTAGGAAGGAATGGGACCCATGGAACCTAATCAATCCATGTATCATCCCCCGATTCAATCACTCTAACTGCTCACAGATCAATGACTTTCTTAGACTCCCAAAGACTAGCCTAGATCCACGATGGTTTGCTCCCTTTTTTGTCGAAAGGAAGTTTCCTCAAGGGAAATAGAGTCCTTTGAGGAGGCGAGTCCATAAGACATCTGGATTAGTAAGACGTCTCCATGCTTGTTGGCCAGATTGAAATCTCTAGGACTTTGGAAACCCAAACCTCCTTCTAACTTTGGGGCACAAAGAACTTTCTTTATTCACCAATGGAGATTACCTTTTTCCATCGAGCCTGACCAGAAGAAATTGTTGAGAAGTGAATCCATTTTCTTCGTTAGGGACACTGGAAGAAGGAAGAGGCACATGATGAATGATGGTATAGCCTGAATAACGGATTTGAGAAGGACTTCCTTCCCTCCGTGAGAGAGAAGCAGGCTCTTCCAAGCTTCCCCCATCTTTTTCATTCTCTGGATAAGGAAGTAGACGGTTTCTTTTTTCGAGTTTCCCCATTATGTTGAGAATCCAAGATATTTGAATGGCAGTTAGATGTTGCAAATCCAATATGAGAGATAATGTCGTTCCTTTCCTTTGTCGGAAAATTTGCACTGAAGAAGACAGATGACTTGTTAATATTTACTTCCTGCCTAGTGATTGCCCCATAATCATTGATGATGTCCAAAATTCTCCCTGCCTCTTGAATGCTAGCTTTCCCAAAGATTACTGTGTCATGTGCGAAGAGACAATGAGTGAGGGTAGGGCATCGGGTTTAGCTTAATTCCCTTGAGGCGATCTTTTGCCACTGCCTTGTCAATAAGGAAAGTGAGAGCATTTGACATCAAGATAAAAAGAAATGACGAGAGAGGATCTCCCTGTCTAATGCCTCGTGAAGGGCAGAATGTCTCCGAGGCTTCCCCATTGAACAAAACCGAGAATCTGAATGTACGCATACATGAGCTAACCCATCTGCACCATTTCTCATCGAACCCATATTTTCTAAGAAGAGTTTCAAGGCACTCCCAATCAACCATGTCATATGCCTTCTTCATATCAAATTTAAGCATCATATCTCTTCTATTACCCAGCTTGTGGTTCTTGAAATGATGAAGAGCTTCATGGACAATAATAATATTATCCTGGATAAGGCGGCCGCCTGTGAACGTTGTCTGAAGTTCTAAGAAAAGCAAGGAAGTCCATTTCTTCAGACGGGTAGCCATGATTTTTGAGATAAGTTTGTACCTGAAGTTGCAGCAACTAATGGGGTGAAATTGGTCAATGCTCTCCGGATGATCAACCTTGGGAACCATCACAATGTGTGTATCATTCCATCCTGCATGCATATTAGCTGTTTCAAAGTACTCCTTAACTTCTCTGCAGAGGGTTCCACCCACAGTATCCCAGTATCTCCTGAAGAATTTTCCAGAGAAACCATATGGGCCAGGGGCTTTCCTGGATCCAAAAGAAAACCTAGCTCTCATAATTTCCTCATTGTTCTCTGCTGCACAGAGATCATCATTCATTTCTTCTATTACCATTGTTGGGAACCCTTGAAGGGTGTGTGAAAAGGAAATAGGAGACCTAGCCTTGAAAAGATCTTTGAAAAGCCCCACTCATATCCCCTTTAGTCTAGCTTCATATTCAACCCAAATTCCCAGTTCATCCTTCAGGCGGAGAACCCGATTTCTATGTTTTCTATGAATTTTGGTCACCTTTTTTAAGCCAATTGACTCTGGAGCATTGTCTCCAGAAGGTTTCCTCTTCAAGCCAAATACTTCTCAGTTTCACAGTGAGGCTCTTCTCTTCCTCCACCTTCTCTTCCGTCCGTGAAGGATGTTGGAGATTCTCAAGCCTGGTCACAATCTCATTCTCCCTCAGCATACTGTTTTTATGGAAGTCTTTTGACCATTCCTTCAGTTCTCTCTCGCACTTGTTGAGCTGACTGCTAGACGGACCACCTGGATCCCATTCCCTGTAGACAATCTCTTTGAACTCTTTTTTCTCCATCCATCTCTCATCAACCCTGAAGGGGGTTCTTCTTCTTCTTCTTCTTCTTCTTCTTCTTCTTACACTTTATAGTGTAGATCAATTCTAATTGGAAAGTGATCAGAATCCACCATTTTTTCATGGAAGAAAATTGCTTCCCCAAACTGTACTCTCCAGGAGGGTGAGCACAACACTCGGTCTAGCCTCACTCTTACCAAGTTTAGTCATGTACGCTTATTGGACCAAGTGAAGGGGTTGGCTTTGAATCCAATGTCAATGAGAGCATTGTCGAAAATGAACCTCTTGAAAGGTTCCACATTCTCGTACCTAAGAGGGCACCTCCCCTCCTTTTCATGCTCATAGATAGTAGCATTAAAATCACTTATAACGACCCAGTTACCCTCTCTACTACTCCAAAGGGAGCTCAAGTGCTCCCAAAATTCCCTTATACCAACAGTTGTAGTTGGGGCATGAACAAAAGTACAAAAGAACTTCCTCCCCATGTCAATACAAACATCCATATAGTACTTGTCACTACTTAGTACATCAATACTAATACCCGTCTTCCACCACAAAGCAAAGCCCCTAGACGAGTTGACAGGTTCGACATACTCTCTATTGGGGAAAATTTTGAGACGTCTTCTATGTTCGTATAAGACGTTTTGCATATCTTCTTGTAAGGGATTGGCCAAATCTCCTACAATTCCAACTTACTATACTCATGAGAGTCGAGGTAGATTATGGCGAACCACTGTTGGCGTTGTTCCACTATCTTCTTCGTCCCCGGTGACTTCATTAGTCATGTGAGGCTTATATTTGTTTGACCTCTTCTTCCTATTACCTCCCACAATTCCTCCTGCAAAAATAGAACTTGATGGGCTTAACTTAAAGCAAGCCCTTCCATTCAATTCAGCCTCATCCCCTCCTAGGCTTTGGATCGAAACCCCTTTCCTCTTTTTCATGGACCGACCTGCTTCTCCCTCAAACTCCTCTTGTATGTGTTGATATGCATTATGGACTTGCAGCTGATGCTAGTTGGGCTCATCCTCCCTAACTCGGTGGGCATGGAGGCTGGGTTGGCAAAGCCCAAGCGAAAGATAGTAACCCATTTGAATCTTCTGGTCCGTTTTTCTCTGCCTCCCTTCTTCATCGTCTATCCTCAGTCCTCCTTGGAGAGTCGCCGCCGCTGTTTCCATCTCCAGTGACAGATCCCTTCCTCCCATCTCATTTCTATATCACCCTTTCATCCTCCCACTCTAGCCTCTATCTTCCACCCAAGCTTCCTCCTCCAGTCGGCGGGCAGTAAATCCCGAAGGGATTAAGAGATTGTCTCCTTCTTCTTCTCTTTGCCGATGGGTGCCCTGCTTCTGTTGGATCTTCCAAGTACTCCCTTGCTCCTCCTGAACGATAGCGACTCCTCTAGGATGTTGGGTCGGAGTTGGGGAGGCTGAGCTCGCCTCCAACCTGGTTGCCTCTACTATTGTTCGACCTATAATGGGAATTGAGGTCAGATGTATACACCTCCGAGAGTGGGACGTGTCCGCTTCTCTTCCTTTCCTCCTTCATACGCGCACAAGTCGTCCGGTTATGACCAATTCTCCCACAAAAATAACAGAGCTCCACCAGCCTTTCGTACTTGAAATCAATTATATCACAATGCTCTTGCCCTTTACTTCATTAGTGAATGGAAAATCGAACCCCACTGGAATCGGCTCGCTCAGATCAACCTACGCCAACATTCTGGTAAATCTTCTATAGCCATTGAAGTGGAGGCTAGCTCTGTCGAAATCAAGAAATTTTGGGAAGTAGAAAGTTCCAAATGAGATGATTTTCTCCTCGCACCTCTGACTTTGGTGGAGGCCATGGATCTTCACCCAAACAACCAATCTGTTCACATGAATGGTTTCTGGATCTCCTCTACCACCATATTTTTCTAATATCGTCATTGTGTTGGAGAGGCTCCATGGCCTTTCCCGTCAAACTTTCTCTCGCGTCCTGGCATCCTTGAACGTGAAGATAAAGAGATTCTGCGCTTGGGTGGGCTGGACTCCCACTTCTCCATACATACCCCCAAGCGAACCTAGCAGCTCCTGCTGCCTTTTGCCAGAACAACCTTGTTCTCCGTTAGCATCTTCCCCAGCAGCATAGAGATCCCCCCTTCCTAAATTTGTTGTCAGCTTCGGACGGTCTCCTCTCCCCCCCCCTAAGGTCGAGGGATTATTGTGTTCTGTACTCAAACGCCCTGCTCTCTCTGCTAACTCGTTAATGTCCATCTTGTAATTGATTTTCTTAGGGAGACTAGAGTGAGGGATGAGAAAGGGAGAAGGAAGAGTAAACGAGATGAGCAAGAGATTTGCCTCTGGTAAACTATGATTTGTGAGTATTGTTCTGCATCCCTCTTCCCTCTCAAATACTCTACTTCTATTGGAAACAACTATAACTCCTGTTATGGGACAATCCAAGTACCACATCAGTTGTACAAGGGAAGGAAACCTTGTATATTAGTGTCCACCTAGCTCAATTAGTACGAGGCCTTTTGGGGAGGATACCCAAGAGTAAAATCGTGCGGGCTTGGCCAAAAGCGGACAATATCGTACTAATTGAGCGACCCGATTATTACAAGTGGTATCAGAGTCTGGTTCGGGGCGGTGGACGTCAGTTTGGTGTACCCTCATTCAGTGGCCTCAGGATTTGAGATCTGCATATGTTTGGTGGATCCAGGAGAGATCCACATCTAGGCTACATCTGATTTAGCGGATCAAAGAGAGTTCTGCGTTTGGTAAAGTCCTTGTACCGAGAAGCCCATCGATATAAGGCGTCTGGCGGATCAAGATAATCCCTGAGGTGAGGACACGAAGTTTGTGGTCCTTGTCTTGAGGGGAGGATTGTTATGGGACAATCCAAGTACCACATCGGTTGTACAAGAGAAGGAAACCTTGTATATTAGTGTCCACCTACCCCAATTAGTACGAGGCCTTTTGGGGAGGATACCCAAGAGTAAAATCGTGCGGGCTTGGCCGTCAATATCGTACTAATTGAGCGGCCCGATTATGAAAACTCCCACATTGTTATGGTAGATATTCTTCATATCACCCATTCCATCATCTTTAAAGATATTCCTGGGCAAAAGGGTGCTTTGTACTTTTAATTCAGCCACTACACTTGGTCGATGTTCGGCGGAGACAGATCTGCCCCTTCCGCCAAATCTTCCATAATAGATACTCTGACCATTTTTATTCCCCTTTCTTCTACCTCTCCCCTGCTTGTACCCTGCCATGGGACCTTCCTATCCCATATGGAGGCTTCCTTTGTATTTTTTTTCTTACCTTCCCAAGAATATAGCCCCCTTGCTTAGCATTGGATTCGCTGGAATTTGAGATTATGCCGAGTCATTTTCCCTCATTAAATTCACTATATGCGAAGGGTTAGGGGCTAGGGATAAGAGGAGATCTACCCCTGTTGAGATAGATCAGAATTTGCTCATCAAGATCGGGAGAAGTCTCATCAAACGAGACGGGAAACAGAACATTAGGAAGCTCAGAGAAAGTAACCGTTAGAGAGAGAGACACATGAGAGAGAGTAAAAATTAGCTGGCCCACCTGAGTGTTGTAAATTTGAAAATTTTATTCTAATTCGGTTTGTCGTTGGTTGTTACCTGTGTATGTGGCGGGGGACGAATGGTTGTTGGCAATTGCTCGCGAGATGAATTTTTGTTATTTAATTTTCCCCTGTTCACATTTTCATCTAATTTTTATAGGATTAATAGAATGTTGTATCCTTTTATTATTGCAAGTTAACAACGTAATCTTCTATTATTTTTTTCATTTGCACTCTTTATCTTTCAAAACATAGCAAAAAACATATCTTTCTATTAGAATTTCTATAAAATGACAGTTATTAATACTTGAAATGACTAATCTACCCCTTTCTCAATTATTTTTCTTTTAAAAAAGTTGTAGCAATTATTAATTATGTTCTATTTGATTTTCTTTTTCCCCTTTCCCGAGCTCCTGACGGTGGAGGCTTCTTCTACGGCTGTATGATTGGCCAATTCCTTTTGCCATCACTTCAATGACACCTCACTGCTCATCATATGAGGATGACAACGATTTTGACTGCACTCACTCAACTCGAAAAGCCCCAAGTTGTTAGGAATTATCAAATGTCAGTTAAAAAAAGACTTGAAATGACTAATCTACCCCTTTTTCAATTATTTTTCTTTTAAAAAAGTTCTAGCAGTTATTAATTATTTTTCTTTTAAAACACGATTTATACACAAATAATCCTATTATTTACTTTTTTGTACAACCTTCGATACGATTTTACAATTTGATTCGGGCCCAAATGTACACATTTTACCCCTCATTTCTTATTCATTTAGCTTACTATTTCATTGTTCCTCGATATATTTCACGCTAAGTTGTGCTTGTTTTGATACGTTTCAGGTCCTAGCACGTGTGGAAGGGTCGAGGTCGAATTTTGGGATAATTGGAGGTCAAAAAGCGCAAAAACAGAAGAAAAGTCTACAGACCGTGACAATTGCCCCGTAATAGTGAAGTGAAGGCGTCTAGGAAACAGCCGCAGTTCACGGTCTCCTAAGACCGTGAACATGGACCACAAATCGTGAACATCAAGGCGTCCAGGGCCAAATCCGAAGTTACTGACGCCAGACGAGTTCACGGTCTCTAAGACCGTGAAATGGGGCCATTGACAGTGAACCCAGGAGAGTGAAGCGGTTTTGGACAACACTGAGTTCACGAACGCGTTTAGGTGTTCACGGCCGTGAACTGGCCAACGCATCCGTGAACTAGTCACTTTCGGGCAAATATGAAGACAACAGCGTAGAGAGAGGGGGGAGCTGAATTATGGAAAAGGAACACTTTCTTTCTCTAGGGTTTCAACCCAAAGCACCAAAGGGGAGTTCTAGTGAGAGAGGGAGTGATCTTGGAGTTTAATTGAAGGAATTGATCAAGTTTGGAAGCTAGGAATCAAGCCTAGAAGAAGAAGAAGCAGAAGAAGAAGATATGGAGGTTTCTTTGTAATCTCCCCTCTCTCTCTAGACACTCACTCTGTTCTCTTGGGTGTTGTAGATCCCTAACTAATACTTTGTAATTTCTTGTTTAGATTGAATGATTGTCATTTGATATTGTTTAATTCAATGATTAAGGTATTATTCATGTTGATTGTGCATGCTTGTGCTTAGCAATCTAAGGGTTGTGCATGTTTTGTGCTTAGCATCCTTAGGTTTGTGCATTTTGGTGCTTAGCAACCTAAGGATTGTAAATAATTGTGCTTAGCATCCTTAGGTTTGTGCATGTTGGTGCTTTGCAATCTAATTAGGCACTTTAACCTAGCTTAGAGAGGAAAATCCCCCTTCCATGGGAGACTCAATCGAGTTGGTTTTCCTTTAGCTTTTTTAAGCCACCTAAATAGGTAAATTTAGGGAAAACCTCAATGTTGAATTAAGCAAATTGGTTAAGCACGATTAAGCCGTCCAACCATTGAATTAAGCGCGATTAAACGCGGGAGGGCCGAGTGACACGACCTATAATGTTCACCTCGGTTTAGCAATTGAGATTATGGTGTACAACCATATATGCATCCCTATGCGGTTCGCAGTTACCTTGCCCATTGCAATCGTTCCAATCCAACGAGTCTTGGTAGCTAATTAGGGGGAAGCAACTCCTGGGTGAAGCTCCCTTAGCTAGACTTTTCCCTGCTAGTTTAGTTTATAGTTTTCTTAGTTTTAAAATCCAAAACTGTTTTGCTAGATAACAACTTAAGCGATTGAAGTAGGGGTACATGGACCGGCCCGGATTGACAATTTAAATACTTGCTCTATACTGCACCCGGCTAGAGTTTAAAAACTTGGGCTCTAGTCGGGATTAATTTGTGGTGTAGTTTTGTGCGAGTCACAATCTTTGATATTTTGTATACATCTATATATAGTTATATACCTGGCCAAATTCTTTATTAATAAGAACTTTACACGATGATTATAGATAAAAATGTAAAAACTTTAATTCATCAGGCCTAAATGTTTCCTAATGGGATCCTTAATCCAAACACCAAGCACCTAAAGGCTAAAACCTAACAAAACTTAGAATAAACATAATACCAAACAGACAACATAAAAAGTGCGCTCCAATCTATTCAATCCGCGCTCCAAAAAATTAAGATCGCAATTTTTTGTCGATTTGCTGGCAATTCGTGTTTCCACGCTCCGGAGCAGGAGCGGCAGGCCCTATAGCACGAATTAGGTAAGCTAAGTCTAGATAAGGCATCTGCAACTTTTTTGTACTTCCCTTGCCTACTTATGATCTAATAACTCAATCCAAGTAACTTCACCAACGCTTTCTTCTGAATATGAGTATGAACTTTATGTCCTAGCAGGTGCTTAAGACTTTCATAATCTGTGAGGATCACAAAGGGTCTTCCTTTAAGATAGTGCCTCCATCTGGTTACTACTAGGAGCATTGCCAGATATGCCAGTCATTGCTGTCTAACTCCTGAAGTCCGACTGAGGTAAGAAACAGGTCTGCCTTCATGGGATAACTCAGCTCTAACTCTCAAGTCACTGCATTTGTCTCCGGTGTAAAGTTTTTGCTGAAGTCAGGCAATGCCAACATTGGTAGATCAGTCATGAAATTCTTGAGCTACTGGAAAGCAGTGTCAGCTGTAGGAGTCCACTTGAATCCATCCTTCTTCAAGATATCATAATGCCTAACAAATTTCCTGTAATATTCTGTTAGGCGTAGGAATCCTCTCAATTTCTAAACATTCATGGGGACTAGTCATGATTGCATTGCTGCTAACTGGAATCGATAGAGACTCCCCCACTGTTAATAATGTGTCCCAAGTATTCAACATGTGTATGGCAAAAAGAGCATTTAAAGGGTTTGGCATGTTTGTCATACTTTTTGTGGTTACTATATATAATCTTTGTTTAACATTCTAGCTTTAAAAATAGTATGTGTTTCAATTTAATTACATTAGTTTTAAGTAGAATTTGATTTGGATTTGTCGGGCGATCTGTGGGTTTCCAAAACTGACGATGATGGAGATAAAAAAAACTTCTGCTCACAAGAGGATTCGTAGTGCATAGGTTTATGAATTGAAAATAGAGATAAAGACGAGTTTAACAAAAATTGCCAAAAGCCCACCTCAATGCCATCCCCATGGTTGACCAAATTGTCTTTTCAATTCATCCAATACTTTAGGATTAGTATGATTTAGGACAGATCGTTATCGATCCTTACGTAGAGAGTTACAAATCCAGCAAACAACTAGTGCATTGCAGTCATCCACAATCCACACCGCTCAGCCTCTCGAAGAGGTATGGGGATGCAACTATCTATGAAACCCATTTTATCATTCGTTTTGAGAGAATTTTGTGCATATCTACTTGAAATTGTATAGTTCAATCCATCACACAACTCAATGACTAGAGACTATGCTATATTTTATTTTGGATTAAGATAGTAGGCATTTGGGCTAAGCCCAAAATCATAATCCCGAGTCATACCCTCTGTACAAATAATTGAAAAGCTAAAAGCATCTCCAACCCTCCAATAGGTTAGCAGTTTCATATATGGACTCCACAACCACATCAAAAACTTTAACAATTATCTCATTCAATCAACCATCTCCATCTTGCAGTTTTTTTTTAGCAATTTCAATTGATGAAACCTACAAAATATTCATATAATTCATATTTTTCTTAACAATACTTTTCAATAATAAATAATAGACTTTTGAACATTCAATAAACACAAATACTTAGTATACACAAAAAATAAATACAAAATTCAGTTAAATTCAAAATGAAATACACAAAAACACTATAGTATTCGCCATCTTCCTCTTCTCTAAATCCATTTCAAATCTCTTCATGTACTTTTAGTGTACTTCTTTCTAATTTTTTGAATGAATCTTCAATCTTTAACTATACATCTTTGTATTAGTTTTTATGTCATCTTAATCAATATAATTAAAATATAATTTATGCTTTTTCTAATTTATTAACAACTAAAAAAATATCATAAACACAAGAACTATTAATGTTTAGCAATATGTGCACAATTGTGGATGAAAAAAGAAGGGGAAAAAATAAAAAAGGATTTGGTTCCATGCATGAATAAAGTGGGTCCCAAATGCTTATATGACATTGCACGATGAATTTTCTATTTAGCAATCTTGCTAAATAAGAAAGAATCTCCACATCCTTACAATTGCGTCAAAATGGTGCCACCTAGCATATGACCAATGAGATGAAGATAGTCTAAGCAACAAAGAGAAACACGTGGTTGCAGAGTTCATTTTCCACCAATGCAGAGGGTGACGGGGCAGGCCAAAATTTTGCCACAAACTCGATAGAATGGACAAAGGCCAAGCAAAGCCACCTTCTTCTTCCTCCTCTCCTCTCAACTCTGATCTAAAGAAAAACTCCCGTGTGACCCGTTTTTGTTTCTTCTTTGACGAGCGAAGTCGGCGGGGAAGCCTCAAGATTTTGAATTGAAAAGGTAAATTTTTTAAAACAGACATATATAGAAGTGAAGCTTGATTTCTTTAACCGTCTTCTCCCACCCATTATTAAATCCTCATTCCTTACTTAGCAATCCATCTACACTTTAGATTGCTCCCTTCCCCTGAAACCAAAAGATCGAATCAACACAAGAAAATTAATTTCTTCAGAAAGGAAAGATAAAAAAATGGAGGCAAACATTTTAACACCGACCCAGAAATACGCAGGGGCAGCTCTGTTTGCGTTGGCGCTTCACCAGTCACAGAACCACCAGAAAAATCCTTCCAACCCACTCCTCTCTCTGGACAGCGAGCCCATCGGCCACGCCGACGTCACCACTGCCAAGACCTCCACCTCCGTCTCCGAGAAGCCGCAGTTGTGGATCCATGAGGACTCCGGCTTGCTCCTCCCTGTTTTCAGGTGACATGAACAACCTTCACCATGTTAGTGTGTTGTATAAGATTAACGATTGAAACTCTCCCAACAAATCGAGTTATTGAGATCAACTGATTCTTGACATAGTATCAAAACCTTCTGTGATCGAGATTTTTTATGTTTGAATCCCCACGCCCTTCATTTATTAAGAGTTGTGCAAACTTCAAGGCCTTATGAGTGACTTTCATTTGAGGGGGTGTATTAGTGTGTGATATAAGATTTACGACTATATTTCTCTCAACAATTTAAAATGTTGGAATCATCTGGTTCTTAACACGCCAGACAATTCTAATTAGGTAATTTTTTGTACGACCTCATGATCCATAACCCAAATTATGATAATTACAGCTTTCTGGGAGTGGAGCTTCAGGCATGGGATGGGCTGAAGGAAACCGCCGGGTCTTCTACCCAATTGAGGCATCACATTGGATCGGTTCGACCAAATTTCATTTTCATCCTCTGTTTTGTTTTTACTCTAAAAGTACCTTCTCAAATCTCAATCAAACCCTTTCCTTTTTCTTTCTGATTTTACAGTACATGAAATTGTTGTCGGAGGATAGGGATGGGTCAATGGACAGGCTGGGGAAGGAACAAGCTTTGACCAAGAATGTTGACGCCACTGTCCAAGCCATGGACAAATCCCCTGCCTCCACCGTAGATACGAGTAAAAAAATTAAAATTCCTACCTTTTTTTACCGTCTCACGATAAAATTTCCATTCTTCGTCACATAATCTATTCGTAACGGTTTCATTGTGTGCAGAGACTCAGCAGAGCAACATCTCGCCACTGGGCGTGATGGCGGCCGGGCCGGCAAATGCACTGGTGAAGACCGGCGTCGTGGGGGCCGAGATGGCCATGGACGAGGTGAAGGTAGTGAGCTACCAGAGGAAAGTTACAGTGCTCTATGAGCTGCTCTCAGCTTGCCTTGCCGATAGTGTTAAAGACAACGGTAAATTCTTCAAGCAGAGAGAAGGCTATGACGCTCGCCACAGAGCTGCTCTCAGGCTTTTGGCCTGCTGGCTTGCCATCAATTGGAATGAAATGGTAAACTCTGGACCGACATTTCATTTTTTGGGCCCACGAGTTGTTTGGGCTAAATTTTTTGGGCCTGCGTTTTGATGTAGGAAGCAATGGAGTCGATGGTTTCTAGCTCCCTGATGGAGCTGTTGGCGAAGGCAAACGAAGGAGACAAGACGGTCACCGAAGGCGCGTGGGAGAAAAGCAAGCGCGTGGGGATGGTCAGCGCAGCCGCTTTGACCGGCGGAGCACTCATGGCCGCCACCGGCGGCCTTGCTGCTCCAGCAATTGCACATGGAGTGGCTGCACTCGCCCCGGTCCTTGGAGGTGCTCTTGCTAGCACTACAGGGTCCGTTGCTGTTGCTGCTTCATTTGGAGGTAACTAGCTATGATTTTCACATACTCGAAGAATATTTAGAACGTGAATGTGTAACAATATGGAGTTCGCACTTTCAAATTACACAGGGCAAAGTTCTCGATTGGTTCAGATTCAAAAACCTTAATTTTCCACGTATTTTGCGTATAAGAATAAATATTGAAGAGATTTCAAGAGAAAAAAAATTCAATGATGTGATAAAAAAATTCAAAATGTATATTCTCGCATGGATTTCACAAATCACTTGCTCGAATTCTACATATTGATCGTTTTGAATTAAAAGAAAACCGGTTAATGGTTTTTTCTTCGCTATATGGTTCGATCGATTCGAATAATAAATTAACAATGTGTGTTAATACGTGGTGGGCAGCTGCTGGAATGAGCCTGACGGGGAGCAAAATGGCAAAAAGAGTAGGAGGACTCGAGGAGTTTGACATTGAAGCACATGGAGATAGTGCCAATCAAGGCGTAAACTTCTTCATTTTTCGATTTTTCCGTTGGTTCTTTTGGTTATCTTCGTATGTTGATTGTGCCTACGTGGATCAAATTTTTTTGATGTTTCATTACATCTAACCATGGCAGCGCCTAGGAGTTGAAATCTTTATGAACGGGTATGTTCTCAATGAGAACGATTTTAAGAAGCCATTTGAAGGCATTAACGACAACATGGAGAGGTACATCGTGCGGTGGGAGTCGAAGAACTTGATCGAGTTTAGCACCGCTGTAGAGGACTGGCTTTCATCGAGTTAGTGCTTGAACCCTAAACCCAATTAATCTTAATTTAATATGTGCTTTGTTTTTTTTTTTTTGGTGGGTAGAAACTGATGTAAAAAAAAACATTTTTTTGCATGTCGTAGAGGCTGCAATGGAGATGATGAAACAAGGTGCAATGCTGACTGTGTTGAGCACGTTAGTTGTGGCACTAGCTCTGCCGGCAGCCATGCTTGGAGCTACTGAGCTCATCGACGCGAAATGGGCAGTCGCTATTGACAGGTTCGAAACGAACTTAGAATTTCTGTTACGCAAATTTGAAATCGTTTGAATAAACATTCGATTAGCCAGTGTCACAAACACGAAATGATTATTTTGTTGTAGTAACAACATCACCCGATTTCCCCCCTTTTTGTCTTGTTGATTTAGGGCTGATAAAGCAGGACTGATGCTTGCTGAGGTGTTGATGAAGGGCATGCATGGCAACAGGTAATTAGCAATCATTATTTGTTAATTACGATTCTAGATGGGAAGTTAACCCATAGTATAAGTAATTATCTAGCAAAGTTCAATCTTGTTTTCAGGCCTGTAACACTGATCGGCAACTCACTTGGAGCTCGAGCTATCTTCAAGTGCTTGCAGCATCTGGCTGCCTCACCCGGTGACAACGGTAGGAATATCAATTAACCCCTTGGGATTTACTTTAATTAACTACACTAGATCATCACTAATTAAAAAAACTGTAGCTAGCTTAATTATTGGGTTAGTTCTGATTAACCGTAATTGATACAAATGAATAAAATTTGCAGGTGGATTGGTGGAAAGGGTGGTTCTTCTTGGTGCACCAGTTGCCATCCAAGGCGAGAAATGGGCACTTGCCAGAAAGGTACGTAATTTTGTTTAGTTAATCAAAATTTTCTGATAATATAATTAATTATTTGGCTTATGGGAAAACTAGATGGTGGCTGGAAGGTTTGTGAATGTATACTCAACGAATGACTGGACGCTAGGGGTTACTTTCCGTGCAAGCCTGGCCTCCACCGGGTTGGCTGGCATTCAGCCCATTGAAGTTCCTGGAATCGAGAATGTAAGCAAATTATGATCATTACAAAATTAGAAATGATTAACGGTCGAGGATTAATCTGGTCTAACGAGCTACTCTTCGACATGCTAACAAGTTATTATTGTTATTATGGTAGATTGATGCAACGGATCTGATTCAAGGACACACCATGTATTTGGCGAAGACGAAAGAGATCCTGCAGCTGGTTGAACTGGAGAGTTGCTATTCTGTTGCCAACAAGACCTGCTCCAAGCCCAAAGCCAGCTGAGAAAGAAGAAAAAATTATCCACTCTAATTGTTTGACAACTACTTAATGTATACCGTCCATCCAAGAATTGGGTTTTGCCTCTTTAAGTAATGAAAAGTAACCTATATATTGTGTCCTAGTTTTGCCTGGTGTGAGAGTTTATTGCGAAGATTTTTGTTGTTGTTGTGTGTTATGTATGTTTAACAGTGGGTAGTAAATGGTATGGGGTAATTAAAAGTGGTTGCAAAAACAGAAAGTTATATCTATGTGTGTGTTTCTACTTTCTAGCAAGCCAGCTTGATTTCTATGTGTGTAATCTAACGACTGTTTTCTATAAATAGCACAAAACGGAAAGCCTGATGAAAGTAACAGAGTAGCAATTCAATCCACCCGTCTAAAAATGGTGAGTAAAACAGTTGTCAGGATGATGATCACTACCTTTCGCTTGCTTCTGCTTATGGAGGCAAGCAGCAGCAGTTCAAATGCAATCCCTGACGTGGCAGCAGCTGCCACGTTGAACAGTCAGCCGATGAAAATCAATTACACTGAAATCGCCACAAAAAACAGGGGAGGTGGAGGGAGCTTCTGGTGGGGATGGGGTGGCGACGGAGGAGGGTATGGATGGGGTGGAGGTCGCGGTGGGTCGTAAAAATGGGGTGCCGCTGTAAACATAAATTATAATAGCATGAATCTTATAATTAGATGATTTCACGAATCGATTATAAATTAAGGAAATCTACATCGATTCATAACGAGAGCGGCGGCAGTAGCTTCAGTAGTAATCACCGGAATTGAGTTTCTCTCTCTTGACCCCTTTAGGTTTTAGGTTTAGAGATTTCTGTGATGGCTAAGAAATTCTACGTAATGGGTTGAGAGATGACCAATCATAGGGTTTCTTTATATAGACCCACCATCAGGGTATTTTAGGAATTTACCTTTCATTAACCTAATCAATATATGATTCACCTTATATTTTAAACCATTAAGTGATAATTATACTTGGGTCACAATTATTCCCTTGTGACCTACGGGAATGGGCTCTCCAAGTTGGCCCATGTGTCATTATATGGTCTAACAATAAACACAAGTGTGCACATCATAAGATAAATCCATCATAATATTTGGTCCACAATAAAGTCACAATCAAGTATGAAAGCTAGATTAGGATCATGGCGGTTGTATATCAATTTATCGACATAGTCCCTTCCATGTACCACAAAACCAGTCTCATACTCAATATGACACATAACAAGGTAGTCATAAACAATAATGTCTTCTCTAAAGACAAATCGTGTTCTGTTCACATAATACATAATGTATGTATATATACCGATCATAATAAATAAAACAAGATTCATAACTTTGTTCCAGAAACAAAATAAATGAGCTCAAAGTGTCAATCCATGAAACATAAAATAACTTTAGTCATGACGTCCTATAATCCCCATCCTTTCGACATGTTCAGTAAATGTCTTAGGAGGCAATCCTTTTGTTAATGGATCAGCAATCATAAGTTGTGTGCTAATATGCTCGATCGACACCCTTTGATTATGAACTTCTTCCTTAACAACAAACTATTTCACCTACATATGCTTAGCACCCTTCGAATACTTGTCACTCTTAGAGAAGAATACCGCTGCGGAATTATCACAATAAATTTTCAGCGGCTTGGCCTTGTGACCTACGGGAATGGGCTCTCCCACTTGGCCCATGTGTCATTATATGGTCTAACAATAAACACAAGTGTGCACATCATAAGATAAATCCATCATAATATTTGGTCCACAATAAAGTCACAATCAAGTATGAAAGCTAGATTAGGATCATGGCGGTTGTATATCAATTTATCGACATAGTCCCTTCCATGTACCACAAAACCAGTCATACTCAATATGACACATAACAAGCTAGTCATAATGGTCCAACAATAATGTCTTCTCTAAAGACAAAAATCGTGTTCTGTTCACATAATGCATGATGTATGTATATATACCGATCATAATAAATAAAACAAGATTCATAACTTTGTTCCAAAAACAAAATAAATGAGCTCAAAGTGTCAATCCATGAAACATAAAATAACTTTAGTCATGACGTCCTATAATCCCCATCCTTTCGACATGTTCAGTAAATGTCTTAGGAGGCAATCCTTTTGTTAATGGATCAGCAATCATAAGTTGTGTGCTAATATGCTCGATCGACACCCTTTGATTATGAACTTCTTCCTTAACAACAAACTATTTCACCTCCATATGCTTAGCACCCTTCGAATACTTGTCACTCTTAGAGAAGAATACCACTGCGGAATTATCACAATAAATTTTCAGCGGCTTGGCGATAGTGTCGACGATTCCAAGTCCAAAAATAAAACTCCGCAGCCATAAACCATGATTCGTAGCTTCATAACAAGCTATGAACTCAGCTTCCATAGTGGATGTGGCAACAACAGACTCCTTCGCAATCCTCCATGAAATTGCCCCTCTGGCTAGAAGGAACAAATAGCCAAAAGTAGACTTCCTGGTGTCTGCACATCCAACATAATCTGAATTTGAATATCCAATCACCTCAAGGTGATCAGATCTCCTAAAGGTGAGCACGTGGTCTTTTGTTCCTTGTAGATACCTTAGTATTTTCTTTCAGCTTTCCAATGATCTACTCCCGGATTACTTTGATACCTGCCCAGCATTCTGACAACAAAACTGATGTCTGGTCTGGTACAAGTTTGTGCATAATTCAAACTTCCAACAATAGATTCACAAGGAATGTGTTCGATTTGCTTGCGTTCCAATTCATTCTTTGGACATTGTTTGAGACTAAATTTATCTCCCTTCTGAATTGGAACGACATTTGCAGAACATTCAACCATGTTGTATCTCTCTAGGATTCGGTCGATGTATGATTTCTTAGACAATCCCAAAAGTCCTTGTGATCTATCAAGAAATATTTATATCCCAATCACATAGGATGCCTCACCCAAATCCTTCATTTCAAAGTTCTTAGAGAGAAACTCCTTGGTTTGATGTAATAAACCAAGATCATTAGTAGCAAGCAAGATATCGTCAACATACATAACCAAAATTATAAACTTACTCCAATTGATCTTCATATATATACATCGATCGACGATGTTTTCCTTAAATCCAAAAGATGTGTTGGTATCATTGAACTTATTATACCATTGTCAGAAAGCTTGTTTAAGTCCGTATATTGACTTCTTTAATTTACACACCATATGTTCCTTTCCCTCAACCACAAAACTCTCAGGTTGATCCATATAGACTGCTTCATCTAAATTCCCATTCAGAAAGGCGGTGTTCACATCCATCTAATAGAGCTCTAGATTATAATGAGCTACTAGTGCCATGATAATTCTTAAGGAGTCTTTCTTAGAGACGGGTGAAAATGTTTCTTTATAGTCAACACTACTTTTCTGAGTAAAACCTTTGGCAACAAGCCTGGCTCTGTGTCTTTCGATATTTCCATTAGAGTCGTGTTTGGTCTTCAAGACCCATCTATTACCAACTCTTTTACAACCTTCAGGCAAATCAACAAGGTCCCAAACTTCATTTTTATACATAGATTTCATTTCTTCTTTCGCGACAGCTAACCATTTATCAGAATGCTCACTTTCCATGGCTTGTGAAAATGAAATTGGATCATGATAGAGTCCTAAATCAGATTCTAACTTTTGAAGATAAAACTCATTATCATCAGAAATTGCAGGTCTTCGATTTCTTGTAGACCTTCTTAATGCGATTTCTTTAGGTTCATCTATGTTAGGTTCATTCTCAATAGCAATATTAGGTGGTGCTTGACCGTTCATTTGTTGTTCTTGCAAATCGTTATCATGCTCAACATGTGCAGGAAGGAGCAACAACTTGAGAAGAGGGTAGAGGCAAAGATATTTGCACTCTAACTTCTTGAATTTCCACATTGCGTGGCTCTAAGCTCCCACTAACTTCACTATTCGCAATGAACCTAGCATTTCCCGTTTCAACAATTCTCATAATATGGTTAGGGCAATAAAACCGATACCCCTTAGATTTTTCTGGATAACCAATGAAGAAACCACTGATTGTTTGTGAGTCCAGTTTCTTTTCATGTGGATTATATATTCTTACTTCCGCTGGGCAACCCCAAACAAGCAGGTGCCTTAAACTGGGTTTCCTTCCCGTCCACAGTTCAAAAGGTGTCTTAGGAACTGCTTTACTAGGAACCTTGTTTAACAAATACACAGTGGTCCTTAAAGCGTGCATTCACAATGATTTGGGTAAAGATAAATTGCTTAACATACTCCTAACCATTATTATTATATAATTAAAAACACAAGCACTTTTCACTGTTCATTAAGAAAAAATACGCTATTTTTTCTCTACGGTTACTGTCCACAATTGGGTTTTATACCATATAACCAATTTTAGCATAAGTCTTTTTTCTCCTTTTCTGCAATATTATCCATATGAGTTTTATCCACTACAACCACTTTTACAATAAGTCTAAAATTCATAAGTAAAAGCACAAGCACTTTTCATTGTTCATTAAGAAAAAAACATGCTATTTTTCTCTACGAATACTGTTCACAATGAGGTTTTATCCCATATACACAATTTTACCGTAAACCATTTTTTCTCCTTTTCTGCAATATTATTCATGAGTTTTATTCCCTACAACCACTTCTACAATAAGTCTAAAATTCTTAAGCAATTATTATTAGATAACATATTATGAAATATTTATGTAACAACATTCAATAAAAGTTACATACATATACCCAATTTTACCATAAGCCTTTTTTTCCTCCTTTTCTGCAATATTATTCATATGAGTTTTATTCCCTACAACCACTTCTACGGTAAGTCTAAAATTCACAAGTAATTATTATTTGACCACATATTATGAAATATTTATGTAACAACATTCAATAAAATTTACATAAATTAAAAATTCGTCAATGTCAGTTACTATAACTTGATTATACTATTAGACCACACATTATGAAAAATTTATGGAATAACGTTCTATAACTACATAAGTTTTTTTTAATGATTAGAAACTACGTAAAATTTATGGACAAATAATCATTTATGTATCAATTAAAAAAATAATATGTAATTTTTCTATAATAATTAAACACTATGTAAACTTTATGTAGAAATAGTTATTTACAACGTATCACTTAAACAAACGGATGACGTATGTTATTCGTAATGATTAAGAAATCACGTGAAACTAACATTTGTATCTTATCTGAATAATTTTATAAATTATTCGATTTCAATTAAATCATTAGTTTCTTACCGCGGCGGAGCGCGGGCCAAAAAACTAGTATCCATTAAAGTACGATTCCACCTTTCTGCAACACCATTTTGTTGCGGTGTTCCTGGCATAGTGTATTGAGCACAAATACCACGTCTTTCTAGGAACTTAGCAAATGGACTAGGGCACTGTCCACTTTCATCATATTTTCTATAATATTCTCCACCTCTATCAGATCTGACAATTTTCACATTTCTTTCTAATTGCCTCTCAACTTCATTGATAAGCACCTCAAGAGTATCTACCTACTGAGATTTTTCAAGTAGCAAATAGATATATCCATAACGTGAAAAATCATCGATAAAGGTAATGAAATACTTTTCTCCACCAAGAGATGGAACATCAAAAGGCCCGCAAATATCAATGTGTATAATTTCAAGAGTTGTGAGCTTCTTGTGGCTGCTTTCTTAAGTGTGTGTTTCGTGTGTTTCCCCTTAATACACTCAACACAAATTCCAAGGTCAGTAAAGTCCAAATGGAGAAGGATTTCATTCTTTACTAGTCTTTCCATTCTTTCTTTGGATATGTGACCCAAACATTTATGCCACAAGTAAGCAGAGGATTCATCAAACAAACCACACTTAATACCAATATTATGATGCAAGGTTAAGAGAGACTCGACAAATGGGGTATCAAGTTTTAGTTTGTACAAATCATCAATAAGGGTAACAGATCCCAATAAAATATTATGTTTGAACAAACTAATAGAACCATTTCCAATGTTCCAAAAATACCCAGCTTTATCTAGTTGAGACACCGAAATCAAATTACGAGAAATAGAAGGAGCATAAAGGATATTGACAAGGTCCATATGATGACCGGTATCTAAAACCAAACGATAAGTCCCAATAGCTTCAACTGAAACTTTGGCTCAGTTTCCCATATAGATGAACTTCTCATTTTGCCTTATGGTTTGGGTCGTAAGTAGGGTTGCAAACGAGCCGAGTCGAGTCGAGTTTTTGCTTAGCTTGAGCTCGGCTCGTTTATAAATTTTTTAGCTCGAGCTCGGCTCGAACTCGAATTTTGATTATCCAGCTCGAGCTCGAGCTCGACTCGATTAAAAATAATCCAGCTCGAGCTCGGCTCGACAGAGCTCGGTAAATGGTCATTAACACAGCTTGTCAAGCTGAGTACAAGCTCGGCTCAAGATAAGCTCGATTTGAAACCATTCTTGCTGAAAAATGTGTACAAATAAGAACATTAGAAATTAAAAATAATAAAAAGAACACTAGAAACTAAAAATAACATGTAACTTCCATACACATCCTTATTAAAAAGATAATTTTCATGTTCAGAAGAGTAATTAATCCTTCCACAAGCTTTAAACAAGCCAGCTCACGAGCTTAGCTCAACAAGCCACCGAGTCAAGCTAGCTCACGAGCTTATCAAGCCGAGCATGGCCTAGCTCAAGCTTGGCTCGTTTACTAACGAGTCGGCTCGCGAGTTGGCTTGTTAAACAACGAGTCGAGTGTCGAACGAGTTTTTTCCGATTCGAACGCCGAGTTGCTCGCGAGCAGCTTGGCTCATTTGCAGCCCTAGTCGTAAGGAATCCCTGCATCGTTTTGGAAACATGAATGGTACAACCAGTGTCAATCCACCAAGTATTATAAGGAACCTCAATTAAATTTGATTCGAAACATACTGAAACACTAGGCTTACCCTTTCTTTCGAACCCTGCCTTTCGTTTCAAGCAATCTTTCTGATAATGTCCGGCTTTCTTACAGACGTGGCATATATCCTTAGTTGGTTCCTTCTTGTGAATTTTGGCAGAAGACTCATTCACCTTTGATAGTCCTTCCTTGCCCTTCCCATTTTTGTTCCATGGTTTCTTTCCAACTCCTTTATAACCAACAAGATTGGCAGAATGATTTCCTGGTTTCTTAAGCCTTTCTTCCTCTTGAATGAGCATGCTTTGTAATTCATGCATATTCCATTTATCCTTTAGAGTATTGTAATGCACATGAAATGTGCCACACTCTAGAGGCAAGGAATTAAGGATGAACATTACTAGGAAATATTCATTCACTTCCATTCACATGGTCTTTAGTCTTGCTGCAATATTCGTCATTTTGACGATATGCTCATGCATGGTACGAGAACCATCAAACTTCGTGGTGGTTAGCGTACCCATCAGTGTCCCAACAAGCGACTTATCAGCAGACTCAAATTGAGAGCTTTCATTCACGGAATTCATAAATTCCTTAGCACTTTCAATATCATTGAAAGTTGACTTAATGTTGTTTGCTACAGTCATTCGCATAAACATTAGCCTCATTCTATTAGATCTTTCCCAAGCTTTATGGAAAGACTTTTCCTCAGCACTGCTAACATTAGTAAGAGCAACAGGTTTCTCACTTAAGAGTGCCAAATCAAGATCCAGAACACCAAGATGAAACTGAACTTGTTCAGCCCATTCAGAGAAGTTGAGGCCATTAAACTTCACAACAGACGTGGCTTGCGAATGAAGGGAAACAAAAACAGATGTTGCAAACATATATAACATGTACTCACACATTAATGCCTTGAGTAATAAGCATAAACTATAATACAGATTCAGAAGCATAAATATAAAATATATATTGGTGCTACCTTTGGGCAAAACAACAATATATATGCGATAAATAATCGTAATTTATGCTCAAAATAATTTCATATAATTGGTGATAAACATACTCAAATTAGATATACTTGCAATCTTTGAATATACTAAATATATCTAACCAAACACATCAATTTACCACGATAATGTTCATGAATTATAAAACGAGCAATCAACCTTTGGGCGATTCAAAAATATTTTATAATCACGAACTTCAAATTTAAAGCATCACATAAACATTAGTAGTCGAACTTGATTCAACTTGATATCTATAAACCTTCTAATTTGGCCACTTTGGTGACTAACAAATTAATCATAACATAGATATCAAAATTAAGAATTGACTTAAGGCAAAACAATTTTACTCAATCTCACATACGTAGAGCTTATCTCTTTAATTGCTTAATATAATCATGATAATATTTTAACATAAGTAAGCTTAAAGCCAAAGCAATCACTCAACAGATTAAAAAGAAAACTTAGAATCACAACCCATAATGGTCAACGGATTAAAACCCTTGTTTGTAAAGAACGTCAGATGTCATTGCTAACAAATTATATGGCAATCCACTAACTCAGGCAATGTATGCTTATAAAACAGGACATCGAATTATACAGTCAAACAAACATCAATTATATTCAATAAGCATAATCGCAAAATATAGAGATACACGATGATGCAACGGAAAAATAAATACGAAACAAACATAATCGAAAATCATCCATTCATATAAACCTTAGGCTCTGATACCACATGTAAACATAAATCATAATAGCATGGATCTTAGAATTAGATGATTTTACGAATCGATAATAGATCGAGGAAACCTACCTTGATCCATGACAAGAGCGGCGACAGTAGCTTGAGTAGTAATCACCGGAATTGAGTTTCTCCCTCTTGACCCCTTTAGGGTTTAGGTTTAGAGATTTCTGTGATGGCTAAGAAATTCTACGTAATGGGTTGAGAGAGAACCAATCCTAGGGCTTATTTATATAGACCCACCATCAAGTTATATTAGGAATTTACCTTTCATTAACCTAATCAATATAAGATTTACCTTATATATTAAATCATTAAGTGATAAGTACACTTGAGCCACAATTATTCCCTTTGTGACCTACGGGAATGGGCTTACAACGGCCGCAGCCCCGGCGGTGGTGGTGGCCGAGCCGCCTGCTGTGGAGGTGGTGGTGGACGGGGGAAGAGAGGGATGTTTGGGAGGGGAGTCTGGGAGAGTTTGATGGGGGAATTTGCGAAGTCCAGAGAGAGAGGATACAAGTGCAGAGGAATGAGGCTGGATTGTCCACTTCATTGCGGTGGGCTTTATTTCTACGATTGCCGGTTTATGTGCAAAGCCCATAACCGTCACCGTCACCGCCGGCGATAGTGATCTGATAATCCTTCGGTCCATTTTTCGGGCAAGTTTTTGTTTTCGGGTCTTTTTGTGTTTGGGCTGGGCTTTCCGGTATAGTCTTCCCGATAGCCTCTTCAACTCTTTTCCGGTTTCCGCCATGGCTACCACTAGTAGTAGCTGTTTCAGTAACTCTTCTTTGGCTTGTACCATTCACATCAAAGCCCAAAAAGAGAAAATATTAAAATAAGAGGAATAGTTCCATAAACATAGTATTAATTATTAATTAAATTTTTGTTTGTAAGAAAGTGTCGATGTTGCCAACTTGTGAATTTTCCAAACGCTTATCTTATAAGAAATTAATTTTGAATTTTCATAATATTTAGTAAGATAAGTTACTATTATAACTGTAACATTGAAACTCAAATACATGTATGGTGTCCCGAAATAAAATAAAAAAATGATAAATACCCAACTTCCAAATCAACCCTTAGTTAAATCACAATTTTGTTCAACGGGGTTTAACAAGTTTATATTTTATTATACTAACTCAATATATAGTTACATATCTTTTTTTCACAGTAAGAGGATCCTTATATGCCATCCGAAAAGAAATCAAATGTTCGTTACAGCAATGGTAAAATGATATTAACAATTAAGATCCATTCCAAAGATAACGAAGTTGCCCTAGCTTGGCGAACAACCCAATCTGCAAGCGGATTAAGCCGTCGGGGAACAAACTCAATCCGGATCCAAGGAGCATACTAAAGAAGGGAAGACATCTGACCAATGGTAGCTCGACAATGCCATGACCATGCCAAGGAGTCCTTATTGAGAGCAAGAGATAGCACCTGAAAATCCGTACGAATGCAGGTAGGAATCCAATCATGAATCGCAAGCAGGATGGCGTTGAGGAGACCAAGAGCTTCAGCCTGAATCAGATGCAAACACAAGAAAGTCTCAACCTTGCCGTCGTACACCTGACCATGAGAATTGACAATAGTACTCGAGTCAGAAACAAACGACCCATCACGGTACATCACAGATTTCGGGCTATTATTTCGAAATGCCATTTTCTTTCAATTTCGGAGGCTACAGAACACGGATTCAGCCCGAGGCTATTCTCCACTCATAATTAAACATATTAATGCTATTCCCCATCGATGATTAAGCCCATTCAGCACCAAATTGGGCCAAATTATTTTGGGATGGCATTTTCGTAATTCTTTGGGCGATTTTTTTTTCGAAAGACAATTTTCCTTGGATTTTGAAGGTTACAGATCACAGATTTGGCCAGAGAATATTCTTCAACGATGATTAAGTTCCTTAAGCACCGATTCCAGTGGATTTCTTTCGGGTCCATTTTTGGCAGATTTCAAAAGGGTACTATGACAGATTTCAGGCGCTTATTCCGAAATGCCATTTTCTTCTATTTCGCAGGCTACAGATCACGGATTTGGCACAAGGCTATTCTCCACTGATAATGAACTATATTTATGCTATTCCCCATCGATGATTAAGACCATTAAGCACCAAATTGGGCCAAATTATTTTGGGATGGCATCTTTGTAATTCTTTGGTCGATTTTTTTTCGAAAGGCCATTTTCCTTGGATTTTGAAGGCTACAGATCACGGATTTGGCCTGAGACTATTCTTCAACGATGATTAAGTTCCTTAAGCACCGATTCCGATGGATTTCTTTCGGGTCCATTTTTGGCATATTCCAAAGGGGCACCATCACAGATTTCGGGCGATTATTACGATATGCCATTTTCTTTCGATTTCGGATGCTACAGTTCACGGATTCATCCCGAGGCTATTCTCCACTGATAAAGAACTATATTAATGCTATTCCCCATCGATGATTAAGCCCATTAAGCACTAAATTTGGCCAAATTATTTTGAGATGGCATTTTCGTAATTCTTTGGGCAATTTTTTTCGAAAGGTCATTTTCCTTGGATTTTGAAAGCTACAGATCACGGATTTGGTCTGAGAATATTCTTCAACAATGATTAAGTTCCTTAAGCACCGATTCCGGTAGACTTATTTCGGGTCCATTTTTGGCAGATTCCAAAGGGGTGCCATCACAAATTTCGGGCGATTATTCCGAAATGCCATTTTCTTTCGATTTCGGAGGCTACAGATCACAGATTCATCCCGAGGCTATTCTCCACTTATAAAGAACTATATTAATGCTATTCCCCATCGATGATTAAGCCCATTAAGCACTAAATTTGGCCAAATTATTTTGGGATGACATTATCGTAATTCTTTAGGCGATTTTTTTTTTTTGAAAGGCAATTTCCCTTGGGTTTTGAAGGCTATAGATCACGGATTTGGTCTGAGAATATTCTTCTACGATGATTAAGTTCCTTAAGCACCGATTCCGGTGGAGTTCTTTCGGGTCCATTTTTGGCAGATTCCAAAGGGGTACCATCACAGATTTCAGGCGATTATTCCAAAATGCCATTTTCTTTCAATTTCGGAGGCTACAAATCACGGGTTCAGCTCGAGGCTATTCTCCACTGATAATGAACTATATTAATGCTATTCCCCATCGATGTTTAAGCCTATTAAGCACCAAATTGTGCCAAATTATTTTGGGATGGCATTTTCGTAATTCTTTGGGCAATTTTTTTTCTTCCTAAAGGCAATTTCCCTTGGGGTTTGAAAGCTACAGATCACGGATTTGGTCTGAGAATATTCTTCAACGATGATTAAGTTCCTTAAGCACCGATTCCGGTGGATTTCTTTCCGGTCCATATTTGGCAGATTCCAAAGGGATACCATCAAAGATTACGAGCTATTATTTCGAAATGCAATTTTTTACTTTTCGGAGGCTACAGATCACGGATTCAGCCCAAGGCTATTCTCCACTGATAATGAACTATATTGATGCTATTCCCCATCGATGATTAAGTCCATTAAGCACAAAACAGGGCCAAATTATTTTGGGATGACCTTTTCGTAATTCTTTTGGCGATTTTTTTTCGAAAGGCCATTTTCCTTGGATTTTGAAGGCTACAGATCCCGGATTTGGCATGAGACTATTCGTTAACGATAATTAAGTTCCTTAAGCACCGATTCTGGTGGATTTCTTTCGGGGCCATTTTTGGCAGATTCCAAAGAGGTACCATCACAGATTTCGGGCGATTATTCCGAAATGTCATTTTCTTTCGATTTCGGAGGCTACAGATCACGGGTTCGCCCCGAGGCAATTCAGCACTGATAATGAACTATATTGATCCTATTCCCTATCGATGATAAAGCCCATTAAGCACCGAATTGGGCAAAATTATTTTTGGATGGCATTTTCGTAATTCTTTTGGCGATTTTATTTCAAAAGGCCATTTTTCTTGGATTTTGAAGGCTACAGATCACGGGTTCGGCATGAGACTATTCATCAAAGATGATTAAGTTCCTCAAGCACCGATTCAGGTGGATTTCTTCCGGGTCCAATTTTGATAGATTCCAAAGGGGGTATCATCACAGATTTCGGGCGATTATTCCAAAATGCCATTTCCTTCCATTTTGGAAACTACAGATCACAGATTTGGCCCGAGGCTATTCTCCACTGATAATGAACTATATTGATGCTATTCCCCATCGATGATTAAGCCCATTAAAAACCCAAAAAATTTCGCCCATTAAGAACGAAATTGAGCGATTTTTTTTCGAAAGACCATTTTCCTAGGACTTTGAAGGCTACATATCACGTGTTCGACATGAGACTATTTATCAACGATGATTAAGCTCCTTAGGCACCGATTCGGGTGGATTTCTTCTGGGTCCATTTACGGCAAATCCCAAAGGGCTACCATCATAGATTTCAGACGATTATTCCGAAATGCCATTTTCTTCCATTTTGGAGGCTACAGATAAGGGATTCGGCCCGAGGTTATTCTCCACCGATAATAAACTATATTGATGTCATTCCCCATCGATGATTAAGCCCATTAAGAACCCAATTGGTCCGAATTATTTTGGGATGACATTTTCGTAATTGTTTGGGCGATTTTTTTTTCGAAATGTCATTTTCCTTGGATTTTGAAGGCTGCATATCAAGGATTTGGTCTGAGACTATTCTTCAACGATGATTAAGTTCCTTAACCACCGATTCAGTTGGATTTTTTTCGGGACCATTTTTGGCAGATTCCAAAAGGGTACCATCACAAAATTCGGATGATTATTCAAAATGCCATTTTCTTTCGATTTCGGAGGCTACAGATCACAGATTCGGCCCGAGGCTATTCACCACTGATAATGAACTATATTGATCCTATTCCCCATCGATGATAAACCCCATTAAGCACTGAATTGGGCCAAATTATTTTTGGATGACATTTTCGTAATTCTTTGTGCGATTTTTTTTCGAAAGGCCATTTTCCTTGTATTTTGAAGGCTACAGATAACGGATTTGGCCTGATAATATTCTTCAACGATGATTAAGTTCCTTAAGCACAGATTCTGGTGGATTTCTTGCGAGTCCATTTTTGGCAGATTCCAAAGGGGTACCATTAAAGATTTCGGGCGATTATTCCGAAATGCAATTTTCTTCCATTTCGGAGGCTACAGATCACGGATTCGGCCCGATGCTATTATCCACTGATAATGAACTATATTGATGTTATTCCCCATCGATGATTAAGCCCATTAAGTACCAATTTGGGCCAAATTAATTTGGGATGGCATTTTCGTAATCCTTTGGGCTATTTTTTTCGAAAGGCCATTTTCCTTGGATTTTGAAAGCTACAGATCACGGATTTGGCCTTAGACTATTCTTCAACGTTGATTATGTTCCTTAAGCACCGATTCTGGTGGATTTCTTTCGGGTCCATTATTAGCAGATTCCAAAGGGGTTCCATCACATATTTTTGGCGATTATTCCGAAATGCCATTTTCTTCTGATTTCGGAGGCTATCGGTCACGGATTCCAGCCGAGGCTATTCTCCCCTGATAATGAACTATATTGATGTTATTCCCCATCGATGATTAAGCCCATTAAGCACCAAATTGGGCCAATTTATTTTGGAATGGCATTTTCGTAATTCTTTGGGCGATTTTTTTTCCGAAAGGCAATTTCCTTGGATTTTGAAGGCACTGATCACGGATTTGGCCTGAGAATATTCTTCAATGATGATTAAGTTCATTAAGCACCGATTTCGGGTGATTTCTTTCGGGTCAATTTTTGGCAGATTCCAAAGGGGTACCATCACAGATTTCGGGTGATTATTCCGAAATTCCATTTTCTTTCGATTTCGGAGGCTAAAGATCACGAATTCGGCCCGAGCCTATTAAACACTAATAATGAAATATATTGATCCTATTCCCCATCGAGGATAAAGCCCATTAAGCACCGAATTGGGCAAAATTATTTTTGGATATCATTTTCGTAATTATCTTTGCAATTTTTTTTTCGAAAGACAATTTTCCTTGGATTTTGAAGGCTACAGATCACGGATTTGGCCTGTGACTATTCTTCAACGATGATTAAGTTCCTTAAGCACCGATTCGGGTGCATTTCTTTCGGGTCCATTTTTGGCAGATTCCAATGGGGTACCATCACAGATTTTGGGCGATTATTCCGATATGCCATTTTCTTTCAATTTCGGAGGCTACAGTTCATGGATTCAGCCCGAGGCTATTCTCCACTGATAATGAACTATATTAATGCTATTCCCCATCGATGATTAAGCTCATTACGCACCAAATTGTGCCAAATTATTTTGGGATGACATTTTTATAATTCTTTGGCCAATTTTTTGCGAAATGCCATTTTCCTTGGATTTTGAAGGCTACAGATCAAAGATTTGGCTTGAGACTATTCTTTAATGATGATTAAGTTCCTTAAGCACCGATTCGGGTGGATTTCTTCCTTGTCCATTTTTGGCAAATTCAAAAGGGTACCATCACAGAATTCGGGCGATTATTGCGAAATGGCAATTTCTTTCGATTTCGGAGGCTACAGATCACGAATTCGGCCCGAGGCTATTCACCACAGTCAATGAACTATATTGATCCTATTCCCCATCGATGATAAACCACATTAAGCACCGAATTGAGCCAAATTATTTTTGGATGGCATTTTCATAAATCTTTTGGCGATTTTTTTGAAAGGCCATTTTCCTTGGATTTTGAAGGCTACAAATCACGGAATTGGCCTGAGAATATTCTTCAACGATGATTAAGTTCCTTAAGCATTATTATGGTGGATTTCTTGCGGGTCCATTTTTGGCAGATTCCAAAGGGGTACCATCACAGATTTCGGGCGATTATTCCGAAATGCCATTTTCTTCCATTTCGGAGGCTACAGATCACGGATTCGGGCCAATGCTATTATCCATTGATAATGAACTATATTGATTGTATTCCCCATCGATGATTAATCCCATTAAGCACCAAATTGGGTCAAATTATTTTGGGATGACATTTTCGTAATTCTTTGGCGATTTTTTTCGAAAGGCAATTTTCCTTGGATTTTGAAGGCTACAGATCACGGATTTGGCCTGAGAATATTCTTCAACGATGATTAAGTTCTTTTAGCACCGATTCCGGTGGATTTCTTTCGGGTCCATATTTGGCATATTCCAAAGGGGTACCATCACAGATTTCGAGCGATTATTTAGAAATGCTATTTTCTTCTATTTCGGAGGCTACAAATCACGGATTTGGCTCGAGGCTATTCGCCACTGATAATGAACTATATTGATGCTATTCCCCATCGATGGTTAAGCCCATTAAGTACCAAGTTGGGCCAAATTATTTTTGGATGGCCTTTTCTCAATTCTTTGGGCTATTTTTTTTCGAAAGGCCATTTTCCTTGGATTTTGAAGGCTACAAATCACGGATTTGGCCTTAGACTATTCTTCAACGATGATTAAGTTCCTTAAGCACCGATTCCGATGGATTTCTTTCGGGTCCATTATTTGCAGATTCCAAATGGGTATCATCACAGATCTCGAGCGATTATTTCGAAATGCCATTTTCTTCTATTTCGGAGGCTACATATCACGTATTTGGCCCGAGGCTATTCTCCACTGATAATGGACTATATTGATGCTATTCCCCATCGATGATTAAGCTCATTAAGCACCAAATTGGGCCAAATTATTTTGGGATGGCCTTTTCGTAATCCTTTGGGCTATTTTTTTTGAAAGGCCATTTTCATTGGATTTTGAAGGATACAGATCACGTATTTGGCCTTAGACTATTCTTCAACGATGATTAAGTTCCTTAAGCACCGATTCCGATGGATTTCTTTCAGGTCCATTATTGGCAGATTCCAAAGGGGTACCATCCCAGATTTCGGGCGATTATTCCGAAATGCCATTTTTTCTGATTTCGGAGGCCACCGGTCACGTATTCAGCCTGAGGCTATTGTCCACTGATAATGAACTATATTGATGCTGTTCCCCATCGATGATTAAGCCCATTAAGCACCAAATTGGGCCAAATTATTTTGGGATGGCATTTTCGTAATTCGTTGGGCGATTTTTTTTTCCGAAAGACCATTTTCCTTGGATTTTGAAGGCTACAGATCATGGATTTATCATGATACTATTCTTCAACGATGATTAAGTTCCTTAAGCACCGATTCAGGTGCATTTCTTACGGGTCCATTTTTGGCAGATTCCAAAGGGGTATCATCTCAGATTTCAGGCGATTATTCTAATATGCCATTTTCTTTCGATTTCGGAGGCTACCGATCACGAATCCAGTCCGAGGGTATTCTTCACTGATAATGAACTATATTAATGCTATTCCCCATCGATGATTAAGCCCATTAAGCACCAAATTGGGCCAAATTATTTAGGGATGGCAATTTCGTAATTCTTTAGGCGATTTTTTTTTCGAAAGACCATTTTCCTTGGATTTTGAAGGCTACATATCACGGATTTGGCTGAGACTATTCTTAAAACGATGATTAAGTTCCTTAAGCACCCATTCCGGGTGATTTCTTTCGGGTCCATTTTTGGCAGATTCCAAAGGGGGTACCATCACAGATTTTGGGCGATTATTCCGAAATTCCATTTTCTTTCGATTTCGGAGGCTACAGATCACGGATTCGGCCCGAGGCTATTCACCACTAATAATGAACTATATTGATCCTATTCCCCGTCGACGATAAAGCTCATTAAGCACCGAATTGTGCAAAATTATTTTTGTATGTCATTTTCGTAATTCTTTGGGCGTTTTTTTTTCGAAAGGCCTTTTTCCTTGGATTTTGAAGTCTACAGATCACGTATTCGGCATGAGACTATTCATCAACGATAATTAAGTTCCTTAAGCAGCGATTCGGGGGCATTTCTTTCGGGTCCATTTTTGGCAGATTCCAAAGGGGTACCATCACAGATTTCGAGCGATTAATCTGATATGCCATTTTCTTTCGAATTCAGAGGCTACCGATCACGAATTCAGCCCGAAGCTATTCTTCACTGATAATGAACTATATAAATGCTATTCCCCATCGATGATTAAGGCCATTAAGCACCAAATTGGGCCAAATTATTTTGGGATGGCATTTTCGTAATTCTTTGGGCGATTTTGTTTTCGAAAGGCCATTTTTCTTGGATTTTGAAGACTACATATCACGTATTTGGCCTGAAACTATTCTTCAATGATGATTAAATTCCTTAAGAACCGATTCCGAGTGATTTCTTTCGGGTCAATTTTTGGCAGATTCCAAAGGGGTATCATCACAGATTTTGGGCGATTATTCTGATATGCCATTTTCTTTCGATTTCGGCTGCTAAAGATCACGGATTCAGCCCAAGGCTATTCACCACTGATAATGAACTATATTGATGCTATTTCCCATCGATGATTAAGCCCATTAAGCACCAAATTGTGCCCAATTATTTTGGGATGACATTTTTGTAATTCTTTGGCCGATTTTTTTTCGAAATGCCATTTTCCTTGGATTTTGAAGGCTACAGATCAAGGATTTGGCTTGAGACTATTCTTTAACGATGATTAAGTTCCTTAAGCACCGATTCGGGTGGATTTCTTCCTGGTCCATTTTTGGCAAATTCCAAAAGGGTACAATCACAAAATTCGGGCGATTATTCCAAAATGCCATTTTCTTTCGATTTCAGAAGCTACAGATCACGGATTCGGCCCGGGGCTATTCACCACTGATAATGAACTATATTATCTTATTCCCCATCGATGATAAACCCCATTAAGCACCGAATCGGGCCAAATTACTTTTGGATGCGATTTTCGTAATTCTTTGGGCGATTTTTTTAAAGGCCATTTTCCTTGGATTTTGAAGGCTACAGATCACGGATTCGTCATGAGAATATTCTTCAACGATGATTAAGTTCCTTAAGAACTGATTTTGGTGGATTTCTTGCGGGAACATTTTTGGCAGATTCCAAAGGGGTACCACCACAGATTTCGGGCGATTATTCCGAAATGCCATTTTCTTCCATTTCGAAGTCTACAGATCACGGATTCGGGCCGATGCTATTCTCTGCTGATAATGAACTATATTGATGTTATTCCCCATCGATGATTAAGCCCATTAAGCACCAAATTGGGCCAAATTAATTTGGGATGACATTTTCATAATTCTTTGGGCGGTTTTTTTTTTTGAAAGGCAATTTTTTTTGGATTTTGAAGGCTACAGATCACGCATTCGGCCCGAGAATATTCTTCAACGATGATTAAGTTCCTTTAGCACCGATTCCGGTGGATTTCTTTCGGGTCCATTTTTGGCAGATTCCAAAGGGGTACCATCACAGATTTCGACTGATTATTTCGAAATGCCATTTTCTTCTATTTCGAAGGCTACAGATTACGGATTTGGCCCGAGGCTATTCTCCACTGATAATGAACAATATTGATGCTATTCCCCATCGATGATTAAGCCCATTAAGCACCAAATTGGGCCAAATTATTTTGGGATGGCCTTTTCGTAATTCTTTCGGTTATTTTTTTTCGAAAGGACATTTTCCTTGGATTTTGAAGCCTACAGATCAATGATTTGGCCTTAGAGTATTCTTCAACGATGATTAAGTTCCTTAAGCACCAATTCCGTTGGATTTCATTCGGGTACATTATTGGCAGATTCCAAAGGGGTACAATCACAGATTTCGAGCGATTATTTCGAAATGCCATTTTCTTCTATTTTGGAGGCTACAGATCACGGATTTGACCCGAGACTATTCTCCACTGATAATGAACTATATTGATGCTATTCCCCATCGATGATTAAGCCTATTAAGCACCAAATTGGGCCAAATTATTTTGGGATGCATTTTCGTAATTCTTTGGGCGATTTTTTTTTCGAAAGACTGTTTTCCTTGGATTTTGAAGGCTATAGATCATGGGTTCATCATGATACTATTTTTCAACGATGATTAAGTTCCTTAAGCACCGATTCGGGTGCATTTCTTTCAGGTCCATTTTTGGCAGATTCCAAAGGGGTAACATCACAGATATCGGGCGATTATTTCGATATGCCATTTTCTTTTGATTTCGAAGGCTACCGATCACGGATTCAGCCCGAGGGTATTCTCCACTGATAATGAACTATATTAATGCTATTCCCCATCGATGATTACGCCCATTAAGCACCAAATTGGGCCAAATTATTTTGGGATGACATTTTCGTAATTCTTTGGGCGATTTTTTTCGAAAGGAAATTTTTCTTGGATTTGCTAGGCTACAGAATACGGATTTGGCCTGAGAATATTCTTCAACGATGATTAATTTCCTTAAGCACCGATTCCGATGGATTTCTTCCTGGTCCATTTTTGTTAGATTCCAAAGGGTTACCATCATAGATTTCGAGCGATTATTGAAATGCAATTTTCTTCTATTTCGGAGGCTACAGATCACGGATTCGGCCCGAGGCTATTCTCCACTGATAATGAACTATATTGATACTTGGGCAAAATTATTTTTGGATGGCATTTTCGTAATTCTTGGGAGATTTTTTTTCAAAAGGCCATTTTCCTTGGATTTTGAAGGCTATAGTAACAGATTTGGCATGAGACTATTCATCAACGATAATTAATTTCCTTAAGAACCGATTCGGGTGCATTTCTTTCGGGTCCATTTTTGGCAGATTCCAAAGTGGTACCATCACAGATTTCGGGCGATTATTCCGAAATGCCATTTTCTTTCGTTTCGGAGGCTACAAATGACGGATTCGGCCCGAGACTATTCTCCACTGATAATGAACTATATTGATGTCATTCCCCATCGATGATTAAGCCCATTACGCACCAAATTGGGCCAAATTGTTTTGGGATGACATTTTGGTAATTCTTTGGGTGATTTTTTTTTCGAAAGGCTATTTTTCTTGGATTTTGAAGGCTACAGATCACGGATTCGGCATGAGACTATTCATCAAAGATGATTAAGTTCCTTAAGCACCGATTCGGGTGGATTTCTTCCGGATCCATTTTTGGCAAATTTCAAAGGGGTACCATCACAGATTTCAGACGATTATTCCGAAATGCCATTTTCTTCAATTTTGGAAGCTACAGATCACGGATTTAGCCCGAGGCTATTCTCCACAGATAATGAACTATATTGATGATTAATCCCATTAAGAACCAAATTGGGCCAAATTATTTTGGGATGGCATTTTCGTAATTCTTTGGGAGATTTTTTTTCGAAATGCCATTTTCCTTTGATTTTGAAGGCTACAGATCACGGGTTCGACATTAGACTATTTATCAACGATGATTAAGTTTCTTAGGCACCGATTCGAGTGGATTTCTTCTGGGTCCATTTTTGGCATATTCTAAAGGGCGACCATCACAGATTTCGGACGATTATTCTGAAATACCATTTACTTCCATTTTGCAGACTAAAGATCACGGATTCGGCCCGAGGCTATTCTCCACCAATAATGAACTATATTGATGCTATTTCCCATCGATGATTAAGCCGATTAAAAACCAAATTGGGCCAAATTATTTTGGGATGGCATTTTCGTAATTCTTTGGGCGATTTTTTTTCAAAAGGCCATTTTCCTTGGATTTTGAAGGCTACATATCACGGATTTAGCCTTAGACTATTCTTCAACGATGATTAAGTTCCTTAAGCACAGATTTTGAAGGCTACATATCAAGGATTTGGCCTGAGACTATTCTTCAACGATGATTAAGTTCCTTAAGCACCGATTCAGGTGGATTTTTTTCGGGACCAATTTTGGCAGATTCCATAAGGGTACCATCACAGATTTTGGGCGATTATTCCGAAATGTCATTTTCTTCTATTTCGGAGGCTACATATCACGAATTCGGCCCGATGCTATTCTTCACTGATAATGAACTATATTGATGGTATTCCCCATCGATGATTAAGCCCATTAAGCACCAAATTGGGCCAAATTATTATGGGATGACATTTCCGTAATTCTTTGGGCAATTTTTTTCTGAAAATCCATTTTTCTGGGATTTTAAAGGCTATAGATTACGGATTTGGCCTGAGACTATTCTTCAACGATGATTAAGTTCCTTCAACACCGATTCCGGTGGATTTCTTGCGAGTCCATTTTTGGCAGATTCCAAAGGGGTACCATCACAGATTTCGGGCTATTATTCCGAAATGTCATTTTCTTTCGATTTCGGAGGCTACATATCACGGATTCTGCCCGAGGCTATTCGCCTTTGATACTGAACGATATTGAACTTATTTCCCATCGATGATTAAGCCCATTAAGCACCGAATTGGGCAAAATTATTTTTGGATAGCATTTTTGTAATTCTTTGGGCGATTTTTTTTCGAAAGGCCATTTTTCTTGGATTTTGAAAGCTATAGATCACGGAGCTGGCTTGAGACTATTCTTCAACGATGATTTAGTTCCTTAAGCACCGATATGGGTGCATTTCTTTCAGGACCATTATTGGCAGATTCCAAAGGGCTACCATCACATATTTCGGGCGATTATTCCGAAATGCCATTTTCTTCGAATTTCGGAGGCTACCGGTCACGGATTCAGCCGAAGGCTATTCTCCATTGATAATGAACTATATTGATGCTATTCCCCATCGATGATTAAGCCCATTTAGCACCAAATTGGGCCAAATTATTTTGGGATGACATTTTCGTAATTCCTTGGGCGATTTTTTTTCGAAAGACCATTTTCCTTTTATTTTGAAGGCTACATATAATGGATTTATCATGATACTATTCTTCAACGATGATTAAGTTCCTTAAGCACCGATTCGGGTGCATTTCTTTCATTACCATTTTTGCCAGAATTCAAATGGGTATCATAACAGATTTCAGGCGATTATTCCGATATGCCATTTTCTTTCGATTTCGGAGGCTACCGATCACGGATTTAGCACGAGGATATTCTTCACTGATAATGAACTATATTAATGTTATTCCCCATCGATGATTAAGACCATTAAGCACCAAATTGGGCCAAATTATTTTGGGATGGCATTTTCGTAATTCTTTGGGCGATTTTTTTTCGAAAGGCAATTTTCCTAGGATTTTGAAGGCTACATATCACGGATTTGGCCTGAGCCTATTCTAAAACGATGACTAAGTTCCTTAAGCACCCATTCCGGGTGATTTCTTTCAGGTCCATTTTTGGCAGATTCCAAAGGGGTACCATCACAGATTTCGGGCGATTATTCCGAAATTCCATTTTATTTCGATTTCGGAGGCTACAGATCAAGGATTCGGCCCGAGGCTATTCACCACTAATGAATAACTATATTGATCCTATTCCCCATCGACGATAAAGCCCATTAAGCACCGAAATGGGCACAATTATTTTTGGATGGCATTGTCGTAATTCTTTGGGCGATTTTTTTTTTTTTGAAAGGCAATTTTCCTAGGATTTTGAAGGATATAGATCACGGATTTGGCATGAGAATATTCTTAAACGATGATTAAGTTCCTTAAGCACCGATTCTGGTGGATTTCTTGCGGGTCCATTTTTGGCAGATTCCAAAAGGGTACCATCACAGATTTCGGGCGATTATTCCGAAAGGCCATTTTCTTTTGATTTCGGAGGATACCGGTCACGGATTCAGCCCGAGGCTATTCTCCACTGATAATGAACTCTATTGATGTTATTCCCCATCGATGATTAAGCCCATTAAGCACTGAAATGGGCCAAATTATTTTGGGATTACGTTTTCGTAATTCTTTGGGCTGTTTTTTTTTTAAAGACAATTTTCCTTGGATTTTGAAGGCTACAGATCACAGATTTGGCCTGAGAATATTCTTCAACGATGATTAAGTTCCTTAAGCACCAATTTTGAAGGCTACATGTCAAGGATTTGGCATGAGACTATTCTTCAACGATGATTAAGTTCCTTAAGCACCAATTAAGATGGACGTTTTTCGGGACCATTTTTGGAAGATCCCAAAAGGGTAACATCACAGATTTCGGCCGATCATTCCGAAATGTCATTTTCTTCTATTTCGGAGGCTACAGATCACATATTCCGCTCGATGCCATTCTCCACTCATAATGAACTATATTGATGTTATTCCCCATCGATGATTAAGCCCATTAAGCACCAAATTGGGCCAAATTATTTTGGGATGATATTTTCGTAATTCTTTTAGCGATTTTTTTTCGAAATGCAATTTTCCTTGGATTTTGAAGGCTACAGATTAGGGATTTGGCCTGAGAATATACTTCAATGACGATTAAGTTCCTTAAGCACCGATTCCATTGGATTTCTTTCGGGTCTATTTTTGGCACATTCGAAAGGGGTACCATCACGAGCGATTATTTTGAAATGTAATTTTCTTCTATTTCGGAGGCTACAGATCACGAATTCGGCCCAAGACTATTCACCACTGATAATAAACTATATTGATCCTATTCCCCGTCGAGGATAAAGCCCATTAAGCACCGAATTGGGCAAAATTATTTTTGGATGGCATTTCAGTAATTCGTGGATGATTTTTTTTTTGAAAGGCCATTTTCCTTGGATTTTGAAGGCTACAGATCACATATTCGGCCTGAGGCTAATCTTTAACGATGATTAAGTCCATTAAGCACCGATTCCGCTGGATTTCGTCTGGGTCATTTCTAGGAAGATTTCAAAGGGGGTACCATCACTGAATTAGGGCGATTTTTCCGAAATGCAATTTTCTTTCGATATCGGAGGCTACAGATCAAGGATTCGGCCTGAGACTATTCTCCACTGATAATTAACTATATTGATCCTATTTCCCATCGATGATTAAGCCCATTAAGCACCGAATTGGTGCAAATTATTTTGGGATGGCATTTTTGTTATTCTTTGGGTGATTTTTTTCGGAAGGCCATTTTCCTTCGATTTTGTACGCTAAAGATCACGGATTCAGCCGAGGCTATTCTTCAACTATGAATAAGTCCATCAAGCACCGATTCGGGTGAATTTCTTCTGGGTCCATTTTTGGTAGATTCCAAAGGGGTACCATCACCGATTCAGGCGATTTTTTCGAAATGCCATTTTCTTTCTATTTTGAAGGCTACAAATCACGAATTCGGCCCGAGGATATTCTCCACTGATAAATAACTATATTGATCCTATTCACCATCGATGATTAAGCCCATTAAGGACCGAATTGGGCCAAATTATTTTGGGATGACATTTTCGTAATTCCAGTACGATTTTTTTTCGAAAGGCCATTTTCCTTTCATTTTGAAGGCTACAGTCTCCAGTACGATGATTGATTCCATTAAGCACCGATTCAGGTGGATTTCTTTCGGGTCCATTTTTGGTAGATTCCAAAGGGGTACCATCACAGATTTCAGGCGATTTTTTTGAAATGCCATTTTTCCGATTTCAAAGGCTACAGATCACGGATTCTGCTTGAGGCTATTCTCCACTACTAATTAAATATATTGATCTTATTTTCCACCGATGATTAAGCCCATTAAGCACCGAATTGGGCAAAATTATTTTGGGATGCCCTTTTCGTAATTCTTTGGGCAAATTTTTTTTTGGAAAGGCCATTTTCCTTGGATTTTGAATGATACATATCACGTATTGACTCGCTCCTACCGTCCCTCTAGAAAGTGGCCAAGTGTAACCACTTCCTAAAGCGTAGTATAGCGGGTTTGGGTTTTAATGTCAACCTGGGTCCTAGATGTGATGACTACTCCGTGAGTTCTTATTATTTAGCAGTGAAACTTTAATGCAGGTCCAAACAAGCAAGCAATTAAACGGTTTTTTTCAAGTCGAGAGAGGTCACCCGGATATGGTTCCCCCCTAGACTGCAGTTAAGCCGGATTGTAATTTACCAAGTTCAGTTCAATGATAGTTATACCGCGGAAGGTTTTTAAACAGTCTGAAGTCTCGACTAAAGGTCTCCAGACCCTCTTAACCTGAGTCTCCAGCAGGCGACTAACCTCCACCGGAGTAAACAGATTGAGGCCCTAACAAACCAAACCTCTACTACCGAAGTAAATTCGGTACATAATAGTGAATTGACTTCTCGACAAAAGTTGCCAATTCACTACCTTCAATCAAGGGTGCTCTATCAACCTAGGCAGATATTCTCTTTCTAGGTTAAAGCAGAAACAACATGAATTTGATCAGGATTCATGTCATTCAACAAATCAAACCTCAATTGAACATAATCATATCACTGAATCTGTACTTGGGTTCATACAATCAGACCTAACATACAAATCTAGGGTTCTTCATACCCAGGTGAATAAGAAACTCCTCCATAGAGTCAGATGCGAAAACCATAATGTGAAGGATGATAATCTGCTTCTGGCACTCAATCAGGTCTGCTCCAAGCTCAAGTTGGGCTCCAATGGTGATGGAGATCGATCTGTGACACTTGCAGAGTCAGGTTCGTCACTTTCTCTCTCTAGGTCGCACTTTTTCTCTCTAAATCTCGGAAAATTTTCTCCTTTGCAGAAAATTGGGTTATAATCCAGAAAATCCCGACTCACACGGCCAGGCCACACGGCCGTGTGACATCCCAGGTGCCCGTGTGAGTTGTGCAAACCGCGGCGTTTTGATAAGTGACTCAACCTTCCTACACGGCCGTGTGGAATTCCAGGATGGCCGTGTGAGTTCCCAGGTATTTCCACACGGCCACAGGGGGTCCCCTACATGGCCTGTGTGACTTTGCCCGTGCAATTTGGTGCCACAAGGCCAGGCAACACGGCCGTATAGGTTTTAGGCGTGCCCGTGTGGCTCCATCAGCTTCACGCCAGATGTCCAATCTTCGTCCAATCGACCCCGAACTCGTCCCCATACCTTCATTCACGTACTAGGACCTGAAATATCACAAACAAGAACAACCTAGCGTGAAATCGGCCTAAAACACGAGAATCGATATCTCAAACGGCTCAAGAATAGGGGTAAAAACATGTGCAATTAATGGTCTATCAAACTCCCCCACCCTTAACCGTTTGCTTGTCCCGAAGCAAACCTAACTCAAACCAATGCAACTCTCCATACCTCTATAGCAACAAACAACCCCGATCGTCGGTAGAGGATTTTCTAGATAATATAGTAGCTTACGAGGTCAATTGGTTTTCTAAGACGTTCCCTATCTCTCTCAATGCGAGTACTAGACTCAAGCCAGGATCATGAGAAGCAGTGGAAGTAAGACAGTCAGTTCATGGATAAAGGGACTCACACCATTCCCAATCAAGGACTCGCGATACCAGGGTGCTCTTTCTCTTCATTTCGCCGTTGGAACCCCTTTTCACTTCCATTTCACTTCTTTTTTTTTCTTTTTTCATTCACTTAGCGGGGGTTCCAACTACAGTCTTTCGCACGGTCGAACCTTATTAGTCGAGCAAGAGCAATTTCTGTACATCTGGCGCTCGCCAGAGTACTTCTTTTAACTCCTTTTCCTCAACTCGTGTGGAGGGTCAATGAAATTAAGGGGGGGTCGGAAGCTCTATCCGTGCCCTTAAAAACACATCCTCAAGTAGGCAAACCGTTCAACGGGTGGAAGTTTTACTTGTACTAGAGACTGCTTAGTTTCACCTTGTAGGAGTACCCCACTAAGGATCACTAAAATCTCTTCCAAAACCCGATTTTGTGCAATGAACGGTGCCGCA